ACCCACTTAAAAAGTCTGAATTGTAGTAAAAACCCAAGAACATCCTAAACCCTTACCCAGACAGGAACATTAAACTCTTTTTCTCTCCCCCACTCTGATTTTTCAAACCCTCCTTCTCCACACCAGTGGGCTGGCAAGTACAATGAAAGAAATGCAGCAGGAACAAAAGAGATGGGAGATGGGGCAGCTACGAGCAGCATCTTCCCCTGTTCAAGTGGCTGACTGCAATTTGTTCAGAGCCCAGTCAGAAGTGAGCCCCACTGTGCCATTCCTTCTTCCAAGGGAAAAAAATCCCTTCACACTAGGGCAGAGTGTAAACTGTGAGAGATGAAAATGGGATAATTATGGGACGTGAAGCCATCTCAACCCAAACTCTGTTCAGAACATAAAAGAGTTGTCAGCACGCAGATTTTGGTGTACTTATAGAATGTTTTTATTTTTTAGCTGAGAAACACAAAATAGGGTAGAGTTTAAGGCATGCAATCAGGCATGAAACTTCTCTTGCTTTTGTGTGCTCATACTTTCAGTGTAAGTTCTGTGAAAGGAAGTAGATCCTATCTTTAATCTCTACTTAAAGCAACTCTGAGCACCCACTTACAGCCTGAGGTTGGATGCAACGTTTACAGTTGTTCCTGGAATGAAGTGCTTGCTCCTAGGGGAACAGTTCTTTTTCTGTCTGTGTGATTTGTTCTGTGCCACGTGGAGCAAGTGTCACCAATTTCCAGGAGCAAGTTTGTCATAATACCAACTTTCCCCATATATACACAAATTGCAATTACAGACAACTTGAGTGCCCTTCTACTGAAAAATACAGATAATCTAATGAATAGGAAAAACATCTTTGCTTTCTGCACATCGCAAGTCTACTTTGTTGGTGTTGTAGAGAAATAAAACAAACCCAGACACCACAAAGAGAATGGTGCAATCAACTTTTTACCTCTGAGGTAAAAGAACAACTCAAAGATTAAGAATTTTGTGGGTTAAGTTACATCAGGTTAGAAACATAATAGGTATTATTGAAATAAACATCACAGGATTAGAGATGCTGCTAAAACATCCATTTCCATTTCAGTAACTTTCATCTCAGGGTAGTGTAAAGCACCTTTGTGTCTACTCATGTGGGGCATTTGCTCTGAGCAAGAAAAGACAGTACCTGAAAGGGAACATATTGCCAAGGAAAGTGTGGTTCATTAGCAGCTACTAACTTATTTTCCCCCTTTAACACCCTACCTTTGTTCATAAGGCTCCTGGTTTTATTTTCTATTATTAAAATTTTAAAACATGATAGTCAAAGACTCTTTTCCCTTGCTCATTTTAAAAATCAATATGATTAAAAATGAATCTACTGTGCATCCATGTGATGAATGTGGTAAGAGCTCATTCTGCATCTTTCCCATGAATGTCCCCATGCTGAACTGTTCAGTGTCACTGAGACTAACGCAGCAAACACTGGGAAAATACAAATCCCAAATTCTAAACTGGTTAAGCTGCCCACTCCCAAGGGCTTCAATGCGATCAGAAGTTCTGTCCTTTGCTGTGGTAGGCATTAAGAGTTTGATATTACAGTGGATTTTCAAAAGGAGTAATCCTGAGATAACAGTTGGCAAGTCCAGAACTGGATGGTCCCATTTCCTAGACCCCAGCAGAGGGGAAAAAAAAGATTCATGCACATGTTCAGTTCATTCTTACTCAGTAAAACATTGAAATACAGCTTAAGCATGAGGTCAAATACCACTGAAAGTGCCTGAAGTAATATAACTTCATCATTAAATCTTTTGAGAGCATAAAAAGAACATTAACTCAGTGCACAAGAATTACATCTTACAACATGCATGTTATGGAGGCACTGACCTCTTCTTTCTTTGAGTTCCTAAAAATGAACAGGGCATGGAGCTCTAGGGGAAGAATCAGAACTTCCAGCCCCACTTTTAACTAGGGAAAAGCCCACGGAAATAATTTTCTTTACACAATACCTACAAGAGTGGCACAGGGTTAAATTAAATAATCAAGTCTACCAAGGGAGTTTGCATTCTCAAAAATGACGAACTAGACTTAAGAGTTTTAAACACTGATCATGACAGCAATGTATGAAATATATCTGGCCTTTCTGACAAAAAAAAAAAAAGTACAAAATGTTCAAAAGCTAACTGTGCATTTAGATTAGCCAGCACATAAACAAAAGTTCAAGACAAGCACTGCAAAAAATGGAAGAGTAAATAATGAGAGAGTGGGAAACAGCCAGACTACAGCTGCAAAGCTTGTAAATAGAGCAAGCATCTAATGCACTTTCCCAGCTTAAACTGCAATTTAGTAACACTGCAGTGAATTAATCACAAAATACATGAACACATGAAAAACTCCATGTCAAAATGTGCTTGGCAGTGCTGACACATTCCCAGGACAACAAGGAATGCTCATTGGGAATCTCCTTCTCCACCAACCTTTGATGGCACAGGGCATAAATAAATTCCCCTTGCTCTCAAGCTTGATGTGAGAGTGGCTGAACCCCAAACCCAACTCCCCGTTGCACTGCAGCTCTCCAAAATCACAATTAGGACACCCTGAAATACTAGAGTGGGGCAAACAAAATTCAGCAGGAAAAAAAAACATTGAGTAAAACAAAACCAGATTTGGTTTGCTGGTCCTTTGCCAAAGCACTGTTGCTGCACAGAGCAGGATTGTTCAGGAGACCTGGGAGAGACCAGATGCTTCCTGACAGCAGCATCTGATGCCACACTGGTGAGAGGGACAAAGCCAAGCTTTGCTGAGATCAGTGTGCCCTGAGAGGGATATTTACTTATTTTCTGTCACATTTCCTAATGGCAGTTAGGAGTTCTTCAGAGATTCTGCCTCTTTTAGAGCCTTTGTCCCCAAGGGAATAGAGGTTATCCCATCCTCTGAAGAAGGTGATTGTCTACTGCAAAAAAAAAAAAAAAAAAAAAAAAAAAAAAGGGGGGAAAAAAAAAAAAAAAAAAAAAAAAAAAAAAAAAGGGGGGGGGGAAGAAATTTAGGAGGTATAAAAATGAAAATCATGACTAGGGAAGCATTTTGATTCAGCAAAAAAGGCAAAGCAAAACAGACATCACTCTGAAAGAACAAAGCCACACAGGAAGGGATTGGATTCTACTAAGCTTAACCCTGAAAGATGCTGTCCCTTTATGATTAAATTTGCTATAAATGACTCACCCACAAACTAATGTGAAATGTTCTCCTCAGCTGCTTCTCCCAGCAGTTCAGGATGTAAAAGCTAGTCCCAAATAAAATTACGAGGCAAAAATAAAAACCCAACCACGCTACCTCCCGTTTCTCATCACCAAGATGCTTCAAAAAAGGAAAAGAAAAGAATTGAAAGCATTTTAACTTGTGAAGTATGAAAGGAAATTCATGCTATGGAGGAATACCTCAGCCTTTCAGCTGGGAAACAGCCCTTCCACGGGTGCTTGGTTAATAGCTATCATGCAAAAACAATTAGTCATTCAAGCAATTAAGAAGGTAAGTATCTCCTAAAAAGGTTCTGAGCTTTCCAAGCTCTAAATGCAGCTGCTATAAACCTAGACTGTTCCTGAGTGTAATTTCCTTATTGTAGGGCCTCTCCTGAAGGGATCCATTGTGTCTCATGTGTTGTAAATTCTTGATGCTCTTTTAGCTGCAGTCTGAGCCTCTGGCGAGTTCTCCTCTTGCTCCTCGCTCCTCTTGTGGTTTAGGAAGATGTCTGACTTCAGGAAGCGGCTGTAGCTGTCATATTTCATGAGGTTGAATATCTGGGAAGAGGGGGAAAAAGAATACAAAGCAAATGAGCTCAGTAAAATGAGATTTTTAAATGAGCAGGATGCTTTAATTCCAATGTACTTTCATTCTGTCTGTACTAGAGCATTACTACAGAGATTACATTTTTAAAAATACATTTCCAACTCTCCAAGGGGCAGCATGTAGCCAACAATGCTGTGGGTTCCATGGTCACTGTCTGGCAGTAACACCCACATTAGCTTAAAAATCAAATTATACTTTTCACAATAAATTTGCACAGCTAATACTGAAGGTGAGAGGTGCCATGCCTGGGTCAGGGGGATGATCAGATCCTCCTGGCAGGGTCTGGAAGGCATCCAGAGGGACAAAGCAGAGCTCTGAAGAAAGAGAGGTACCTTTTATGCACCTTGCTGACTGCAATGACTCCTGAATGCTGGAGAGCAACTCAGAGCACTAGAAAACTAAAGAAAGCCTCTGAATAATTTCCATAAATACTGAAACAACTGGTTTAGCCAATATTCCTTAAATCTATGCCAATCTTCCCATCCTTGTTAGACAAAATGCCAAAACTGCTCTAAGGCCAGATGAGAAATGTTGCAGGAACCTGCCACAAAGAGCTGACCTGGTACAGATGTATTTTGCCAGTTAAAATGTGGGTTTAAATTGCCAGTGGATTAAATTTGTGTAATTGCACTTTTCAGTAGGCCAAGAGCTTCTCACAGCCAGCATGGAAACATGAAGTCAGCCCCAAGTAGAGGGCTTGAGTTCAGGCTCATCCCTCAGCAGAGCTTCTGCTCTTCTATTTATACCCACTGCAGACAAAAAAAAAAACCCTACAACACTTTTGGAGTTTTCTGAAAACAAAAGGGTTGGGAGAGGAGCCTGGAATCTGTTCAGGTGTCAAGGTCAGGACTATATTTTGCTTGGTGTTGAAACAGAGGGGAAGGGAAAAAAGTAAACTTCAGAACTATAATTGAGGCAAAACCAAAGCCAGCCTCACTCTCAGCCTATTATTTCACTGGTGGAGCCTCTCTGAGTCATGTGTCAGGACAGATTTTGGTTTTTTTAACACTCAGAATAACTGAATTTCCAAGACAGATTCCTGGATTCTCACCTGCAGATGTGGCTACCTCATCTTTACCTTTACAGGCCTCACTTCTAACTGATAGTATAATCAGGTAACACAATTCTTTGCTAAGACAAAAAAACCAACCTCAAATTGCTTCTTCATTTCACATCCACAAGGAACCTGGACAGATACAGGCAACCACCTAAAATTTGACTGTTCTTCTCTGTGCATTTGCTGAAGTAGCTCACTTACAAATAAAAATTACATTAAGGATTTTATTAACCTAAATCTGTGGAAATATTATTCTTTGAGATACATATTGGAATATGAATAAAAATCCCAAAACACCCACTCTGTGTAGAGCCTGATCTTCAGGGTCCGAGCTCTTCCTGAGTTAAGCAAAGTCAAATTATACCTCCTGGCACTGGATAGCTACAATATAATGAAATTTATCCAACCAGCTCAAGGGAAAAAAAATTGTAAGGAAGACATTTCCTGCTAAAACATCATGCCTGTGTTAAGAACTTAGACCCCTCTTGTTTCTGGTATCACTTAAAGCATCTCCCAGAGAGAAAGAACACTGAAGATCAAGATCTGCAGCGACCAGCCAAATACACAGAGCAGAGTTCACAATCCTGTGCCAAAGCAGAATCCACTTTTCCCCCTCCCTCCCTCCTCCCACTGCCTGTGTGGAGCAGGAACCTTCACCCCCAAGTGTTCTGGAGCCCGTGGGTTTCTGTGAACCACTCTCCCCCCACTTCTTTCAGCACAAACAAATGGCCTGGGGGCAGCTAGGGCCACCCCACGGAGCAGCCACATCCCACCAGTGTCCCCAGTTAAACCAGGAGCTCTCTGGAGAGCTGAACTCTCATTACCAGCACTCCTTCCAGCTCTGCCTTTTTCTCCTTCAGACCCACAGTGCCAGCAGTGCTTAATGCTGCTCCTCAGAGAGCAAATTACACCACTCTTCATAACTTTATAAGGATTGAAAACTGGAGAAGACCATAACTCTTCTGAGCCATTATCTAACAGCAATAAACAGTAGCTTCAAGCACTGGAAACATGCAATGACCCATAAATGCTCTGCACTTGTTTTTAAAAGCTCACAGATTTTCTTCCCACACTAGTGGGATTCCTCTACCACTAGTCCAGTATGTTTCCAGTTCAGGTATTACTGAGCCTTGGCTCTCCATGTGCATGCTATTTACAAAATAGCAAATATTTTAACTCCAGTATTCTCTCCAGCTTCACTCTTATAGTCACTCACCCTGACCTGCAGTGCTTAGATCTACCAGAACAGGTCCTTCTCTTTACCCACATCAGAACTTTTTCCATTAAAAACTCTTTTTCTTCACATGGAATTTAGATTTCAGGTATTTCCACTGCTAATGTCTTGGAGTCTGCCTGAAAAACAGCAGAGCCTTTGCTCCTCAGACCCCTCCAAGTGACCCAGCCAGTGCCCAGCCAATATATTCAATACCTGATTGAAATGGGCTGAAAACACTGATTAAATCACTGTGCTGTTTCTCCACAAAAGGAAAGAGCCAAATGGAAAATACAGGTAGTCCTGAGGATGGTACAGGAATTAAAAATAGTACTGCAAGTGCTGGAAAACTGCAGATAAGAATGACTCACTTCATAACTTATGCTTTGAAATCAGCTGAATATCAAGAAAATTTACCACCTAAAGACATGCCTGCAAAATTTCTAATTTCTGCCAGACCTCCCAGGTTCTTTAGGGAAAGGCAAAGCAGAGACCAAGTCCTCTAAGTCCTGCACGTTGCAGAAGAGGAGGGTTTTCAGAAAATTGTGCTATATTCATATCAAGATAAATACCAAAGCAAAGTAAAATGAAGAAATTTGAGCCCTCAAGGCAACCAGGGGCAACTACAGAAACAAACATCAGCAATGACTCAGAACAAGTGAATACACAGGAAAACAAAGGCACTGAGTTAGTCAGGGCGATTCTCAAGCTACCCACGCAGGAATTCAGCAGAAAACTCCATCCAGTTTTCCAGGAAAGTCCTGAGTTGGAATTAGAATGGTTCTATTGAATCTCTTAATTAATTGGTGGTAGTGTGATGAACCTGGAGTATCTCAGAGCAGCTGCATTAATATCCCCAACATGGAAGCAACCCAACTCTCTGCTTACCTGTTCAATCATGGCTAGAAAGCAGAGGTCACTAAAACCAAAAATGTTCACTTAAGACAAAAATGAATGAAACTTTGTTATTGAAATGAATAACTTTACCTGGTCCTGGAGCTTCTGAAACATGAGAGGGTGAGGTGTCTCCAGGATGGTCTCACTCAAACGGGACTGCCCTTCAACATTGACCTGGGAGGAAGCTTTGCTGGACAGGAAAGTCATGTAAATCTCTTTAGCTTTTTCCTGCATCTGCAAAAGGACATTTATTTAAAGAATTATTTGCTGTGGGAACATTCTCTGCATCAGGTTTATCTCACTGGTCTACATTCATTGGTACTGGAAGAGGAACACCCCTGCAGGCCAGAAGTCACACTGGGACCAGTGCAAGCTGCCAGAATTCAGCTCACAGGGCAGGTTGGCACGTTTGAATCCCAGCAGCCAGTGTAAAACTGCTCAGCAGCATCAACTACACCTTGTCTCTGCTCTTGAGACAAATGTTTTTCCCAACAGATCTTCAGTATGGGCAAGAAACCCAGAGGAAGAAAAACTGGGATATTGCTACAAGGGAAAATTAAGTGAAGAAAACTCCAACAGCTTGGCTTGTTGGCAAAGATAAGACTCTCAATAGCCTCTGAGAGGTGATGAATAAGGGCCTGACCTGAATAAAGCTGTTTGTTTGTAGGTATTTGCCCTATTTCAGAGCTCTTCCCTTGTCAAACCAGTAGCAGCAATAACATCTTGGCCCCACCAGCATCTTCAAGCTTCAAAGCAGTGAGTGGCCACAATCCCCTGAAGTTCAAGGAAAGGCCCCTTGACAGATGGCTGGATAAGGGGGAGGCAGAGAGGGAAAAGAGAACCACGCCAGGCAAGAGGCAAGCCCCCTGCTGCAATCTGAATTCTGCAAGCTGAGAGCAAGCCAGCAGCAGCTGCTCTGGGCCATCCCCAGCCCTGGGCACTCAGCAGTGTCCCCAGGGTGCCTCTAATGAGCAGCCAGAGCTCCACACCAGCTAAAGGGATGTGCCTTTGATGGGAAGGGGGCTTGAAGAAGGAAGCATTTAAATCCTGCCCATGAAGGAGCCTCAGAATTGCTTCCATGTTTTACAGCTGAGGTACATTTACACTTGGGGGTAATTAGAAGAAAAGCTGTATGTGATTGAGCATTCGGGAGGCCTAAAGAGAGATGAGGCTCTCTCACTGCTGAAGGGGACAGCCATGCTCCAGTGTTCCTTTCTAAGAGTCATTATTCATCTGGTGGGTAGAACATTACGTGTCAAGTGCACTAGGTCACAATGAACTGTTTCTCACAATTTCCAAATTGTTTCACAGCTCAGGGAGGACTGGGTCTGCCACTTCTGTACTAAATGACCAATTAATCCAAGGGATCAAAGGTGTGACTGCTACAAGTGGCAAAGTGAATGTCCTAACGAGGGCACAGCCTTCAGCTATTATTGCATGAGCAATTGCATTGCCAGTCCCACCCAAATGACTTTTGAGCTCACTGTCCAATTTCAGCCATACTTGAGAGAGGGGCAAAGGACTGAGAAAAAGAAATCACCCTCCTGCTGAGCCAATGGAAAATCAGCAGGAGAGAAGAAAGGGAGAGGAAAAGCAGCACATGCACCAAGGGAAGAGCTGCAGTATGTGCTCAGAAGTTCTCTGCCAGGATGTTCTTTGCTGCTGGCTAATCAAGGCAGATGTGGCTCCTCACCAGCCCCAGCACGAGGGGCTGCTTGCCCAAGGACACAGGAGCAAGCTGGGCACTACAGAGAGACAGCAGAGGCAGGCTTGACAGGGAACACAAAACTAGAAGTGAGCGTGAGGAAGTTTAAAGAGCATGGAGAGGAACAACAGGACTGTGTGGGAGGCTGGTGAAACAGGGAGGATCTTTGGATTTTGTGAGGAAGAATAACAAAGAAAGGAAGTGAAAGAGCTGTGGTAGGGAGAGGAGGCCACTGCAGAGACACAGAGGACCTGGGTTTAAAGCAGTGGGGAAATATGGAAATGCACAGCTGAGCGTTACAGGTTCTGCTGCAAATAGAACTGCTCTGCCACGTCTGTGCTTCAGCAGTACAGCAGCTGATTAACTACAGCTTATAATTTGCTTTAAAAAGAAAGAACAGTTAAAGCTGCCAGAGTGCTCATACACCCCCCAAGTGTCACTCAGCAGAGCCAGGTTCAGGTGGAGGAGGCAGAGATTGTCCCTGTTTGCTCGGTGCCATTCTCTGCTCTGCACCAGCCTGGAACTAAAGCCTCAGCACAGGGGGCTCAGCTCTGGAGCTGGAACAGCTCTCAAACTGGGATCTTGTTCACAGGTGGTTATTAAAGGATTTCTGGCAGTCCCCAGTCCCAGCTGTGTGCTCTCCCCAGTGTCCGTGCCAGATTCCCGTTTGCAGCATGAAGTTCTGCCTAGAGCACCCCCTCGCTATTCCAGAGGATCCAAAATTCCCCCCACTTCCTTTCCTGAGGTCAAGCTCAGCTCCCAGATGAGGTGGCTGGGAGCCCCAGATGCTCACCAGAGCAGGCTCCCAGCACTCAGCAGCTGTGCAGCATTACCCTGCTACATTCCACATGGGAAGCACCAGAGGAAACTCCTCAATGTACAGGGCTTTGTTCTGGAATCATTCACTACAAAACTTCAGTATGGATATTTTGGTGGGTTTTAGCAATAGCTGAAAACATTCCCTGTTGTTGGAAGCTTTTATTACAATCTGTAATTTATTTTTGAAGCTCAGCTGCAAGAGGAGAAACATTTATACCCTGGGAAGCAGCACGACTGACATGTTGTTTATTTCATTAACAGTCACAAATGCAACAACATATGATTAGCTCCAACAAAATATTTAAAGTTAAATTTTATTCCCTCATCCCCACCACTCCCATTTCAGTAATTAAATATGTGCCCTAGCACAAGGGCCACGTGGGTGGCAGCAGAACTCACTGCTATGAGTGGTCTTGACCCCATTGCTTTCTCAATCTTCACTAAACATTAAATCTGTATTTTAACTTCAATTTTAAAGTAATTTTTTTTTTGAGCTACAGAGATGTGTCTTGAGCTGAGGGGGAGTTTTGTACCTTCCTGTCAGAAGAAGATGGGCTGAACTCTACAACCTGCCTAGGGCAGCAATGCACTCTGCAGCTGCCAAAAATCTCCCCTGAATCATCCCTCTGGTGGAACAGCAGCCTGTACAAAACCAAACACTACCCCAGACTGGCAGAGAAAGGATAACAATATCCCTGGCACAAGGGATGCTTAACCCACTGCTCATGTGGCAACCTTTGGGCAAGTTTAAACTGACCAAGTAGAACCCCAGGCCAGAGCTCTCTTGTCCAGTAATGAAAAGTTTATCTCATCCTTTAAAAATAGGGGGGAAAATCCCATTCATAGAATCATGGAATAGTTTGGGTTTGAAATGACTTTGAAGTAATTTTGAAATACAGTAAGTTTGAAACTACCTTTTGAAATTATTTATGCAGCTAGTTCCAACCCCCTGCAGGGACAGGGGACATCTCCAACTTGATCAGATTGCTCAGAGTCCCAGCCAGCCTGGCAATGGATGTTTCCAAGGATGAGGCATTGATCACCTCTCTAGGAAACCAGTTCCAGTGCTTCACCATCCTCTCATGAAAGAATTTCCTCCTTATGCCTAATCTAAACTTGCCCTCTGTCAGTTTGAAGCCATTTCCCTGTCATGTCACTCCATTCCTTTGTCAAATTCCCTCTGCAGCTCTCTTGAAGCTCCTTTAGGTGCTGGAAATTCTCCCTGGAGCATTCTCTTCCCCAGGCTGAGCTACTTCAGCCCCTGGAGCATCTCCCTGGCTCCTCTGGACCCCCTCCAAGCTGGGTTCAATTGATATCAGCTCCATCTGACCAAGAGCCTCAGTGTCTATGAGCTAATCTCTGTGGGAAACCAGCTTTAAGGAGAAGTGAATTACAAAACAAGCAAAAGACTGTTTTTAGAATACTGTGTGCACAATAGAGAAATGCAAAGGGACTTCTGCAAGAGTCACTTTCAAAAGAAAAATCCACGCTCCACGCTACCATAAACACTGGAAAGATTTCTATTTTTAGTGCTTTTCCTAGCTTTGTAAATTATCTAAACAAAGCCACCCATAAGCAGTAGCTACAAAAATTTATTGTAAGTTTGTGTCATTCTAAAGCACATTTATTCAGCCAGTTATAATAATTTGGGAAACCCCAGACTCCAGGCTGACCATACTATGGAATGACTGAATAATTAACCCAAATAGAACCTAGTTAAGTCTCTGTCCATTACTTGTCAATTCATTGAAGAATTTACCAAGCTCCTAACCCTGCACATCACTTCAACATTTTCTCTACTGGCATCCTAAATTAGCAATCCTAAATCAGCTAGAAATATGGAAATTATTTAGCAAGGGAAAATACGATTATTATCCCACTGAAAGCGTGGGACTTTACAGAAAAGTCGACTGACTGGTTGTTCTTTCCTCAAGACTTTCTGTATTCCTGGACTTTAATGAAGGAGGGAAGCAGCTGAATACACAAAACTGGAATTACTAAATGTTACAAAGTTCACAGACATATTGAACATTTCCCTCTTCTTGCAAAAAAAAAAAAATAGTATTGTTGTATTTTTATGGATTTATCACTACCCAAAAATACTCACAGCTAAACCCAGCAAAATTGTTTTGAGGGGAATTTTTTTTCAGTGCAAAACACAGGATATTTATAGAAAGTAGACTCCCCTACCCAAAATACATTGTTTGGAAAGGCAGGGAAGCTTTTGGTTGTTGAAAACCTGCTGGGAAACTGTTTAAGCTGACAATATTTGACTGAAATTAAGAGAGGAATCTGCAGTCTGGACACAGCCCTCTTACACCTGCACTTCATAACACCTCTCCTAGCCCAGCTCTCCTAGCTGATTCCTATCCCTGGGTGTTTCTGGTGTCCCTCCAAGCACACATCATCCCACAGCACACTCCTGGAAAAGCTGCAGCCCAGGCTGGGCCAGGAGCGCTCTGTGCTGGGCTCAGAACTGGCTGCATGGCCAGCCCAAGAGTGCTGGTGAGTGGTGCTGCATCCTGAGGACAGGCACCAGTGGTGTCCCCCAGGGCTCTGTGCTGGGCCAGCTCTGTCCAGGTTTTTATGGATGACATGGATGAGGGGATTGAGTCTTTCATTACTAAACTTTACAAAAAAATAAATTTCATTTGTGAATTTGCAGGTGACACTGAGCTGGGAGCATGTGCCCATCTGTTGGAGGGTAGGAGAGCTCTGCAGGGAGACCTGGAATGGTTGGATGGATGGGCAGGGTTTAACAGGATGAAGTTTAATAAATTCAAGTCCTGCATTTTGGCCACAATAACCCCTGCACTGCTATGGGCTGGACAGTGCCCAGGCAGAAAGGGACCTGGGGGTCCTGGCTGGATCAGGAATGGTGTGGCCAGCAGGAGCAGGGAGCTCATTCTGCCCCTGTGCTGGGCACAGGTGAGGTCCCACCTCGAGTGCTGTGCCCAGCTCTGCCCCTCAGTTTGGGAAGGATCTTGGGATGCTCGAGTGCATCCAGAGGAGGCAACGAGGCTGGAGAGGGGCTGGGAACACAAACCCTGTGAGGAACCCCTGAAGGAGCTGGGGGTGCTCAGCCTGGAGAAAAGGAGACTCAGGGGTGACCTTATCACTCCACAGCTCCTGGAAGGTGCCTGTGCTCAGATGGGGTTGGGCTCTTTCTCCAGGACCTGACAGAACCAGAGCACACAGCCTGAGCTGCACCAAGGGAAATCCAGGTTGGATATTAGGATAAAGTTTTTCACAGAAAGGTGATAAAGTTCTGGAATGGCTGCCCAGGGAGGTGGTGGAGTCACCACCCCTGGGTGTGTTTAACAAAGCCTGGATGTGGCACTGGGTGCCAGGGTTGAGTTGAGGTGTTTGGGCTGGGTTGGACTCAATGATCTTGAAGGTCTCTTCCAACCTGGTCATCCTGGGAATTCTCTGATTCTCTTGGAAGAGGTTCAAGGGGCATCTTCCCACTCTCACATCCTTATGGTGCCAACTGCACCCTTTGGCAACAAGAGCTGCACTCAGGTAAAAAGCATAAAAGTGGGATTTCAGAAAAAAAAAGAGCTTTAGGAGTCTGACTCTCAAGGACAGGGATGCTCACTTGGAGTTTTGATACTAATATCATACTCACAGAATGAGCTCTTAAAGAGCAGATAAATTTGAAATTTCTCAAGAAAACAATAAAACATTAAAAAAAAACCCAGGCACAAAAATATTTTGAGAAACAAGCAAACATAACATGGTACATATTTTAGGCCTGACTCTATGGGCTTCAAAGTCTAAATGTGAAAGTGTATCCTGTGTTCCTGGTGGATCTAAATGTAAGCCAAGATCCAAGCAGTGGGGAAAAAAAAACTTATTGGAGGTGTCTGGTTGAAAATTTTTCCACTAGATTATTTCCTACTAGAAAGGTGGAGCTGCCATCAAAATGAAAAGGCTCTGCAGGTATACATCAATTTGGATAAATATTTAAGCAAAGAAGTTTAAACAGAGCCTTTATGTTTTGTAACTTGTAATTTGATAAGGCAAAATGCTTCATTTTGGTGCTGTAAAATATTTTTATTTGGGTCATTTGTTATTTTTATGTTCCACTAAGATAGCACAGTGGTGTAAATTTCCAGCTAATCGTTGCTATGCTCTAAAAAAGTTCTGAATGAAACATCTTTATATTTGCAAACAAAATGATGCAACATCACTGAATTAATAAAACTTTTGCTACTCCCTAGAAACTACAAAAAAGTTCCATTTTCAAAACATGGGAAACTTGACAATTTCAGTACTTTGTTTTGATTTGAAATAAAACCAGCTTTGTTTCCAAACAATTCCACCAGGATGATTTTAGTGCAATTTCTTCAAATATATTTATTTGCATTCACGCAAAGGACATTATGCAACAGAGATGTTTTAGCTCCATCTCTGCTAAGTAAACTTTGTTGACAAGTAGAATTTATTTAGGAAACATACCTGCTTTTTTCCCTGTGTTTTCTTAAATTCTTCACATGCTAGCCAGAACAAAACGTTTTCTTCACTAAATTCTTTCTTTAAAAATTCCTAGGAAAGAGAAAAACAAACACACAGAGGTTAGGATCCAATTTCTCAGTTGTTTTTCCCTCTTCCTACTACAGCTGTTGGAGCTAGAAGCTGCCCACAATTAACTTTACCATGAGTTTACCCAGCCCAGTGTCACAGAACCACTGCATTTGTGCATCTGCAGGATATGGAACACTGATATTCTGCTCTTTGAAAGCACATTCCAGGAGGAGGATGGGCTACATCTAATCTCAGACCATATCAGTAACTAACAGGAACAGCTTCTTCAGCCTCCCTTAAATAACTCGAGCACTTTTACAGCCACTGCTCAAAGGGAAATCCAGAAAGATATGAATTCATCACCACGTGAGCAACATGAACCATTTTAATGAGAGTCACAAATCACTTGGGATTCTCTTGTAGTATCTCTCTGCCTTTTGTAATGAGAAAAGTCTCTACAAATAAAAGTGTTTCTAAATGTGATCGTCAATGGCAATAAATTCACTTAAACAAACTGAAGCAGAAGATGTAACTGTGCTCTCTGTGCTGTTTAAACACAGCACATTCCTCCAAAAGTGAGGCATGCTTTCAAAGGGGAAAAATGAACATTAAATTTATTTATGAAATATAATGACTGAAACTTTTATAGCTCTGAGATCATCAGTTTTCTCTTTCAAGTGTTAAAAAATAGAGACTAAGTAATGCCAGGAATTAAACAGCACCAAGATTACTTTTCTTTTTTTTTTTTTTAATAATTTAAAATCAGCATTTTGTTATTCTTGTTTACCTCACTTTTCAAACCAGTCTGGCAGGAAACCATTTTATCCCAGTGCATTTTATCAGTACAGTATGGCAGAAGCACGTTGAAGTAGGCAGTTCCTATTCTTACATCCATCATGGCAAGAAGGCCTTGAAACACCAACTCACCACCCTCACCTAATTAAACTTCAAGCCATTTTGAGCTGCACCAGCCCACACTTTGTAGTAAACTGAAAGGGAATATTTTCAGTAGAGCTGCTAAACACAGAGCAAGAGCCACAGAGTCATCAGATTGCTCCTGGTAGCTCATTGCTTAAGGACAACATGTGAGAAGTGAGAGCCCAGGATCTCAGTGATAAATAATGCCTGGCAGGAGGGCTCAGTGGCCCAGGGACTGCAGTTTGTCCAACAGAAAATTGTTAATCCTTGCAAGAGAGGGCAGATCCCATTAGGAAGGTGCAGCCAACAGTTTTGCCCGTGCCTTTTGAGCCCAGGCTGCAGTGGCAGGGGGCAAAAGGAGCCACCTGGGAAGCTCTGCCGGTGGCACAGCTCCAGCTCTGCTCAGGGCACACATCTAGAGGGATGTGTGCCTCTGCTCACAGTGCTGGCACAGCTGCACCCTTCATGCTGGGGCTCCTTCTGCTTCAAAACCTGAATTTTGCTTTATGTAAATATCCATATTTAATATATCGACCCTAAAGCGTTTCACTCCTTCCGGGTCTTCGAGGAGGTTCTCCAGTGACGTGGCCCATTTCGAGGTCCCTTTCAAGGTTTGCTGGCTGCTGCTTGGGTGGCCCTCACCATCATTTATCTCTGGAAAAAGAATAAAATGAACAAAACAGCATCTTCTTTAGAAAAAGACAAGCATCAGGCACGTGGATGTCTCCCCCATGTCCCCTGCACTCCTGATTTCAGCTGCTCTCTGTGAAGGAAACTCCATAAGAGTGAAAATGAACACACACACACACACACACACACACAGACACTTGAATTCTGCTTTGCCTGTAAGGAGGCAAAAAACCCTTACAGCCACATAATTCATGAGCATGTAAGGAGGCACTGTCACTGCTTTATAGGGCTTCAAGCACCTCCTGCCTGGGGAACACAATGAGCACAGTCCAAATTTTGCTCTGGCACTGTCAACAGTGTTGGCTTCTCTAAAGGAATTTCTGGTCAGTCACACACGTGAAATTTATTTTTAAGAAGAGAATCATCACTGGAAGCTAGATGCTCAGCAAAAGCAGAGAGAGAAAGAAAAATAATGGTTTGCTGAGCAGGAGAACCAGTCCAAGATATTAATCCAGTGCAATGGGAGGAAAGACACACAGCAGAACAGCATCACTCCAGCTGAGTCAGTCAGGTTTTGGGCAAGAGGGTGATTTTACTCTTTGCTTCCAAGTCCTGAAATTCTTTTATAAGGTGCAGTGGACTGTGCCCACATCTGATCTGCCAGCCAGCCTTCTCACAGACAAGACAGATGGAATGCAATTCCTATTTTCTCTATCCCAGGAACAAGTGCATTTCATTCAAGGCTGGTGATGGCAAAAAGCCCCATTTGCTGGCGACCCTTCAGAAAACCTATTACTTGGCACAACCCCAGGAATGCTATTGCTCATCTGAAAAACTCTAACACAGACATAAAGTGCTCAGCCTCCTCTCCTCTAACACACAAAATGCCCTGGGAACACAGGGGGGAAGTCAGAAGGATAAGAGCTGCACTTCAGGTCACTGTGCACTGGAGAGATGCACAAAACTCTTACTGCAACCAGTAGAGCTTCTATTTTTAACTCCTTCATTTCTCCCTTACCAGCTCACTGGAAATCTGGGTTTTTAAAAGCTCTGCTTTTAAAAACCCTTCTTTCACCATGAAACTAATCCTCACTAGGTATCTCAAAAAACTCTCTATGCAGAAATACATACATATATATATTTATATATAAATACACACGAGCAGATGCCCTTTCCAGCTGGTGACTGGAAATAAAGCTGAGGTTAAAGCCTTACAGAATATTGGCATGAGAGCAGAGCTTCAGTTGGTCAGGACCTGTGGAGCCTGTTTGTTTTACCAACTGCTCTAAACGAATGAACATCTCTCCTGCCTTGATAGGGAGGGGATTTTGCTTTAGAAACTCTCTGCTAACTTAAAACTCAGGAGCCAGAACCTAAGGATTGTGTTCAAACCACAGCTGAGCCTTCAGATGTGACAGGAGCACAGCGAGCTGACACCGCCTCAGTTTGCCCCCCTTCGTGCAAAAGGATGTGGTTCTTGATTAGCACTTGAAAAAAATTGTTTCAGAAACCTGACTCAAAGTATTTGGGCACTTAATCTCAGTAAAATCTGTGAGATTTGAGTGGGAATGGCCAAGTGTATTGCAGCAGAGTACAAAAGCCTCTGAGGAGCTGGGATGTGTAGCTGTGTCCACGCTCACCTTGGAGCAGGATGCAGCCCTGGGTGTGCAGCTGCTGGAGCTGCAGGACCAGGCCACCCCCTCACTCAGCATGGTTTAGCACACAACACAAGGGGACAACATTTGATTTCCAGTGTTTCTTTCCAGCCAAATCTGAGGTGGACGCTAATGATGACTTTGAAAAGCATGTGTTTCAATGAGCCAATGCAGACCCAGACCCTTGAAAACCTAAAAAAAAAAAATGCTGGTAAGCAAAGGCCAGAATAAATCCTTCCAAAAACCCAGAATCTGCTTATCTTCTGCTGCTTTGACTGATCTCCCATTTTACTGCTGGCCATTCTCTATTCTCCCTGATCATCATTTCCCCCATTTTCCTCTCATTTCCAGCCTACCCAGCACAACCCAACTCTACTCTTCCCTTTGTGTTTTGTCCCCCCTCCTCCTTGTCAACCTCCAAACCCTGCTCCCTCTATTCCCCTTTTCCCTGCACTCTCCTCCTACAGCCTTAGCTTCAAAACCAAAATTTGCTTTTGAAGGGAGGACCTACATGACATCTTCCTAGTGTCCATTCTGCTGAGCCTTCTGCTGAGATCACTATCACTCAATTTATTTCCTCACTTAACCAGCTCTCCACAACCCAAAGAATACCATGGTACAGAGACAAGGGTTGTCTGTCCATTGCAAGCCTTCCATTTACCCCTTGCCTCATTTATTCCATTTATTCCTTGCCTCATTTATTCCATTTATCCCTTGCCTCATTTATTCCATTTATCCCTTGCCTCATTTATGCCCCCAGAGCAGAGGCTGAGGGATGTCTCAGGTGCTCTGAGGATGTCTCAGGGCAGCTCTGGGTGCCACCAGAGGTGCAATCCCAGCTCAGCCCAGCCCCAGCACTGCCCACCCCAAGGCTGGGGACACCAGGCTGAGCATCATTAATCCCAATGTCCAGAGTTCCTCTGCAACCACCATGAAACATCAACATTCCCCTTCAGCACAAACGTAAAATAGGCTGCACGTAATAATTTCAGGAAACACCCTGAAATTTTATGAATTTTATGAGGCTATTAAAACTGCTGGGTATTTTTATTATATCCCATTAAATATGACATCACTAACATTTATTCTAATACAAAAGTGACCCGACATCCCCTCAGTCAGGATCATAACTTCCCGCTCCACATGCTGGTTTCATGTAACAGATTTAATATGTGATTTTCACAATTTTTTTAAAAGACAGGAAAGAGGTTTTCCCCACAAATGACTCCAGAAGTGCAAATTAATGAGCCTGAAACAATTCATTTGAGGTGGAAATACAGCAGTGTAGTTACATGAATGATCCTCCTGACACCTATTTATATATTTTTAAAAAGACAACTTTCTCCTGTTAAAATCATCTGCTGACAAAGCTAAGTAATACAGCCTTGGAAACAACAAGCTTGATCCCATTTTTTAACTAGAACACAAATGTACATATATTTGTATGATCATTTAAATGAGGAAGGCAGACATTTGCTGTTACTAAAAAGTGGGAGATGATTTTGTGCATCACAAAGGGCATTACAAAATGGCAGTTCTCCCACCAATATTTCTGTAAAAGTAACACACAGAATGCGCATCAGATGATAAATAAACCAACTACATTTCTTACATCACAGTACATTTATTACATTATGACACGGTAATTGAATTTCAGAGCTGAGCCTGCTTTTACATGGGTTGGAAAGCAAGAGGAGAGGAAGGCAGCAAGGCACGCACAGCAGAGCACAGCTGTAAGAGTTTGTGCTGAAGCAAACTTTCCACTGAGTTGGAAATCTGCTCCAGAGACACAGCGGCTCGCAGGGCGTGCGGGGAGCAGCCAGCTGCTCCTACCAACGCAGCAAATGATGAAGTGCTTCTTTTAGCAGCACCATTCTTCAGAGGCACTCCATGCTAAGCCAGCAGACAGGCAGTTGCATTATCTGGAGCATTGTTTTAGGGGGAAACCTCGCAGAAGCTGCCTTCCCATCACACAATGGCACTGCAGCAGCAGGCTGCGGATAAAGGCTCTTTGTGCGGTACGTGCAGCACTAATAACGCCGTAATTATCAGCTGAAGAGTGCTATCAAAAATGCCAAATATTTGCCCCCTCCAAACAGGAACTTGGACTGACATCCCAGGAGGCATCCATACCATCAATATATACAACTTTGTAGCTCAGAACTCACAATCCCGGCCCTCGTTTCTGACAAGCACGAAGAGAAAAAACCTGCGGGAGCCCATCAAGCTGAGTGATTCAGACACAGCTAATTGAGTTAGCCACGCTGATCACTCTGCCTTCCAAAGCACTGCACGCTCCAGCCGTTTCCCAGGCTGCTGCCACTCTCCAGCTGTTGATACCGTGGCCTTTGTGGCAGCATATCAGGCAGAACAGACTCACACCCTTCAGAGAATCCTGCTGAGCACATCCCTTCCCAGCCGCCTGTCCTGCCCATCTCCTTCCCGCACGCACCTTCTGCACCCTCCCTGACAAACAGCAGCCCCACAAACACTCACAATGACAAAAGCGCCATGCAAACAGCACGTTCCTCACTCCGCATTTAAGCATGGATGTACAACAGGAAAAGCCGCTTCCATTTCTTTTTGAAGAACTTCTCACCAGTCGTCCCCTCATCCACCTGGATCATAAATCTGCAAGCCATGAGTCTTTATTATTACTTTAAAAGCACTCTGTATACCTTGCCTTGTCCTACAGTCACCAGAATGCCTACCCAGCAACAATCACCAGTCTGGAATTAATAAATCCAAGGTATGAAGCAGTGGGAAACTTCATAAGCAAGCAGCTGAAAAGGGAAAATTCCCTTACTTTCCATGTATCCAAGCACCAGCGGATGAATCCTCACACAACAATTTTTTCCTAGTATCAGCTGAATTTTAGAGAGCTGTCCTTTGAATGCGTGGGGTGTTCAGAGCACGAGCTTCAACATCCTCTTTTGACTGTCTCTAGCAACAGATGGCTACTGGATTCCACTTTTAACTATAAGGAAGGAAACTAAAGGGACGTTCCTCTTTTGTAGCATCTCTGGAAGTGTTCACCAGACATATAGCCTTTAAAATACCCCCTTGACGCCTCTCCTCCCCCCCTCAAAAAAAAAAAAAAAAAAAAAAAAAAAAAAAAAAACAAACAACTATAGACAAAGATCTCACTTGGCTCTTCTTAGAAAGATTGCAACTTCTTCCTGCACACCGTAAAACACAGTGTTATTTTCTAGGATTTGGAGGTTGCAAGAGTTGCCCCAAATGTCTCAGCAGCGACAGATATCACCCCGCGGAAGCGACAGCCTCGCAGCATCGGGGCTACAAAACACAACCGCGTTACACCGCCTGTCTGCGGAGAGAACCGGGATGCCCTACATTATTACTGCCTGGAAATCTCCATTCCAGCTTGAAACCTCCCCAGGCAAACTCCTCAAAGTCAATTTGGAGTTGGAACAGCCGCGCTCTGGCCCCGGTAAGAGCAGCAGCTCCGACTGAAACTTGGCCGCCGAGGCACAAGCCCGAGCAGAGCCCAGTTCCCTCTTCCGCGCTCGGCGGGAAGCGCATCCCGCGGCCCCGCTGCGGGGCGGACGGGCAGCCGAGCAGCCCCGCGCTTCCCCCGGCGGGGCCCGGGCACAGCCGTGAGCCCCCGGCGGGCACAGCCGTGAGCCCCGCGCTTCCTCCGGCGGGCACAGCCGTGAGCCCCCCGCTTCCCGCGGCGGGCACAGCCGTGAGCCCCGCGCTTCCCCCGGCGGGGCCCGGGCACAGCCGTGAGCCCCGCGCTTCCCCCGGCGGGCACAGCCGTGAGCCCCCGGCGGGCACAGCCGTGAGCCCCGCGCTTCCCCCGGCGGGCACAGCCGTGAGCCCCGCGCTTCCCCCGGCGGGCACAGCCGTGAGCCCCGCNCGGCGGGCACAGCCGTGAGCCCCGCGCTTCCCCCGGCGGGGCTCGGGCAGCGCAGCCCGGCCCGGAGCGCAGCGCGGCCCGGCGCTTCCTCGGCGGGAGCGGCCGCGGGCTCGCCGCCCCGTCCCCGTTACCTGAGGGCGGCCGCTTCCTGCTGAGCCGGCTCACGGCCCGGTTGAACATCCCGGGCGCCGCTCGGCCCCGCTGCCGAGCCCGAGGGCGGCCGCGCTGCCGCGCCCCGCCCCGGCCCGCCCCGGGGAGCGGCGCCAGCCCCGCACCTGCCCCGAGCGCAGCCCCGCGGGGCCCGGCCGGCGGCGCGGCGCCGCCCGGGATTCGCCCCCCGCACCTTCCCCTCCTCAGCCGGGCCGGCCCCGCTCTCACAGCGCCCGCATCCTGCTCACCCGCCCCTCCTCGAACTCTTCCTGCTCCTGACACCGTGCTCGGGGACACGGGGGAGCACTGTGCCCGCCCGGCATTAGCCACCAGCCACCCTCCTGGCTTTGCTTCAGCCACCTCACACATTGTGTTTGTGGAGCAGGTGCAAGAAGCAGAAACACTTCCCCAAGATGGGCACCTTGATGAAATTGTGTCCCGGCTTGCACAAGACGCACCAAGCTTTTTGGTGTTGGAGTGACTCCTTTGCTCTTCCAACACTTTGAAGGACAATTATTTCTGAATAGAAAAGCGCAACTGAAATTTTAGCAAACATACTTTCACTTTCAGAAATAATGTTTTTACCAACGTATTTGTTCTAAAATCCAGCATGTGAGAAGTTTGTGTAATTCTGACAAAGCTGTGAGCCATCAAACAGACAATTACCTCAGCAAACAGTAGTGGGAGGCAATGGGAACGCTCAAATCCCACTGGAAATATCACCAATACACAAAAAAATACAGAAACCACTGCTAGCAGACAAGTCAACAGTTGTTTTATTTCCACCTCAGCCAAATCCCATCCTGAATGCACAGTAACACATTGCTAAGAAGCTCCGTTCACAGAGGGAACTTGGATGGGCTCCCCATCTCACTGAAAATTATGGATATTTTCCACTTATATGCACAAGGCCAAGATCTCATTCCTGGGAACTGGTGACACCAGAAGACTGAACACAAGAATCAATTGCATCTGTGCTTCCAAAATAAACAACAGCACAATACCTTCCAGCTGAAGGGATTTGGCCTGCACCCCCTGGACCTCTGCCTTCGGCACTGGGGCCAAAGGCTGTATTAGCTGGTAATGATTTCTTGGCTTTTGGGGTGGATTAAAAAAATATAAAAGTTTGCTGCTCTGCTGAGGGAAGTGCTCAACAGCTGCATGTGGTGTTTCCAGGCAGATGTGTGATACAGGCACATCTGGGACACAACTGGAAATTCCATGCAAGCATCAGAAGAGCGGGCAGGGTGTAACACCCCAAAAGCAGCAGGGCCCGGGTAGCACAGCTGGGAGAGGTAGAGCAAGTGAAGAGGGCACAAGGGAAGGGAGCAGGGGGCAATGTGGGAGAAGACAGCTTGGACATGCACTTCCCAAAGCTTTTTTTAGTGATATCCACTAGTGCCAGGTATTCCAGGCAGAACATTTACACTGAAGCAGTACAGACATCACCAATTTTATTTTTCTTTCAGAATCAGGTCACAAAGCCCAAAGTTTCTATTTTAAGTCTTAGGAACTCATACTCCTAGGACAACTACATAATCTTTGAGCCAGTGTACTGACAAATTACCAGATTAGCTTTAAAACTTAACATTAAGGATTCCGGGCTGAGGGAGTACGTAAGAGCTGTGAGAATGTTTGGAGGTCAGATTGTGCTCATGGTGTGTGTGCTGGTGTCCCCAACAGACTCAAGATACTTCAGCTCCTTGTCCATCGATGTAAAGGGGACACCTGACCTACAGATCTGCCACAAACTGACCTCTGGAATCCAAGGTTCCTTTTCCCAAGATTTGTTTCTGCCCCTTTTCCATGAAAATACTGCTGCAGAGGCAGAATCCCAGGTGGGCACACCAGTGCCTGCCCTCTCAGTGTCATGTTCCCAACGCTGCTCTATGTGTTCTGCTCTCTTGTTCAAGAGCCAGTGCTTCATCAGACAAAACAACTTCAGGAAATTTTCCTTCCGGGTGAATTCAGTGGAGATTTTCAGGCATGGTTCATTTCCTGGTGTTTGTTTGCATCTTTTTCCACAAATAAGCTGCAATACCCATATATAGCAAATTATGATTTAATTCAAATAGTGCCAGTGTCCATATGCCACATCACCACCTTTTCACATTGATTTTTAGACCTTGCATGACTTTTACCAGCTCTTCCTTAATTTCACAAGGCAAAATTTCCCTTACAAATGAACCCACACACGTTTCACAACCTCTGGCTTCAGGCCAGGCAATATAGTGAGGATGATGTACTCTGAGTACTTACCACACCTAATGAACTGGGTACCATTAAAACTGAAATCTGGTCAAATAGTCAAGTGCCCTTAAAAGTGACCCTGAAAGCTTTTGTGAGCCTCCCTCTGCTCCATTCTGCACATGCATGTCTTGTTAGCACACGGTGTGAGAGCAAGCTTTGGGTTGTTCATCATCCCAAACCAGGGCAGCTTTTTGAATTTGGATAAAATTCAGCAAATTTCCCACTGACACCGGCAGGAACAGGTGTGAGTGTATGTAGGGGGAAAGAGAATGTGCAAGACACCCAAAAAGGCAGACACACGCTTGATAATGTGATTTCAGACAAAGATTCTATTTTAAAATTTGACTTGTATTCTGAAGAGTAATTTTACTTACATTTAAATAGCTGGATTTGAAAAGAAATTAAATGAGTTGTGCTTAGCTGTTGCCATTGCAAAAATCTATTCTGGAACATGCTGAGCTATGAATAATACCACAGAAAATTCATAAAATGCACAGCTCATTTCAATGCCAAATTGCATTGAAAGACGCAAAATTAATCAATAGTCTATGAGAACCCCAACTCATGATTTAAACGTGATTTCATTTACATCCATATAATGCAACTGATTTCAGTAGAGGTGGAACTTACTTATGTGATTATAAGAACTTAAAATTAGAAATGTCAACAATGAAGAGAGGAGGCCTTCAAAGTAGGAAACTCTCTTTTCTCCGCAAAAAAATCCCAGCCCTTTAAAATCAATTTTAGACTTTAAAAGGTTAAGAGTAGAAAATAAGACTAGGTGCTGCACTGCAAACTGAACACTGGCCAGAAAATGAGGCATTTTCATCAAGAATTTGTGCACAAAAACCATGCACAGTTCAGAGAATCACAGGTTCAATAAAAGCAGGTTTCAAGCTTCTTAAGTGTTCATCTTAATGTCTTGATGTTCATGATGGGCTGGCAAACACGGCTTGAAAGCTTTTCCTTCCACATCAGCCAGTGCTGAAATGCACAGAGTATCATGCAGGGACTCATTTATGGGGTTTTTACCTAAATGCTTCAGCACAGACGTTTTCAGTTTCACCACAAAGCAACGAGTGACTGCCTGCTGGAACACAGCAGTGTGATTAACCCTGGTCCTTTCAGAGGAAGCAATGGGACTGGATGCTAAGATCTGGGGTGGTTTTTCACAGTTCAAAGCCAGGGATCACTTCTGAGTTTTATTAACCTTAAATCAACAAACAATTTTTAGATTCAAGCCAAGGTTTGTAAGTCTTAGCTAAATGCAGTCACTGTCTGAAGATTCACAGATACCAGAGTGAAAGAGCAGATAATAAAAGGTTTTAATCTTTTAGTTACACACAAAGTAAATCTAAACATAACCTTCCTGTAAGGTATACAGTATGAAACAGCCTTGAGAATTCTCGAAGAAAATTATATTCTATTTCAGGCTTGCCTAAATAAATCAGGGGAATTCGTCCAGCACTCCTCACTTTGAACTCACAGAAAGCTCTGACTCACTCCTTTGCAATACTTTCTAGTATAAAGAGGTTCACAGGGTCAACTTTTATCCCTAATCTTGTGGAACATTCCTCAGTACCTCCAATCCAGCAGCTTTATGTGTGCCAAAATACAGACTGCAAAACTCTGGCAGTGAATTCAAACACGTAGAAACTGAATTACAGGCTGAATAACTCCAGTAGCGCTCCCAACTTACATTACTTACACAACTTTAATTCTTCATAAATTGCACTCAGAAAAAAACACAAACACATGTTTCAAACCTTGAAATTTAGGTGTGACTGATTTTTTTTTTACAGTTTTATTCTCTTTGCATCTGTCAGGGAAGAAAATGTTTCATTAGATTAGTAATAAATGCATATTTAAGTTTGATAACAGCCTTACTACTAAACCACTCTTGTTTTCTTCAACTTTATTCTATAAAGAAGAGTTGTATTTTCCTTTTATACTGCCTTTAAATATCAAAGGCAAATGCCAGTTTTTTTACCTGCAGGACTTAAACCCAGCTTTCAGAAAATAAAGCAGCACTATGAATTAAGTCTTGAGATGAAGAAATATGGTTTTCAATGAGCAATTTCACAACAATAACAATCTTGACTTGGTAAAATATTCATATATTCAAGTAGAAATGAAGTAAGAAATTGTCATCAAAATCTTAAAAGCATTCTAAGGCCTTCTGGACTGCACACAGGTAGAACTGACTGGGAGGTACAGTAAAGAAAACCCAGCTTTTGTGAAATGTTCAGTCTGGTATGGACCTGAAGATAAAAAAAAAAAAAAAAAAAAATAATTAAAAAAAAAAAAAAAAAAAAAAAAAAAAAAAAAAAAAAAAAAAAAAAAAAAAAAAAAAAAAAAGCTGCATTT